CAAAAGGCCCAGGGGACGGCCAAGATTAACCTGGTGCAAACATATGGAAGGAATCTGTTCCAAACTGCATCTGTCTTTTGCCGAAGCACAGACTCTGGCACAGGATGAGAACGTTGGAAGCACCGTCTGACGCGTCTGCCTCCGCGACCCGAAAGGAGAAGCGGCGATGGAAGATGATGATGAAGACATTATACCATCTCGATCGTCGCCTAGATTATCACGGGCCGCGCTGGCTGTTGGAGAACTGAGACAGACTGCAAATATTCAATGATCAGAACCTGCTGTAAAAGATCTAACATAGACAACAATGGTATTAGTGAGCAATGGAGCTTATAGCGGTTCTAAAAAGAGGAAACAGAGAGCGTGAAGCCATAATGGCACGTGAAATACGGTTCCACTGTAAGACGATTTTGCATCAGGTGCGGCCGTGCGTTAGAAACCAATTTTAGCTGATTTTAGGTATTTTACCTTCTTCCCAAAGCTAGGGAGAATGATCTGAGGTCTACAGTCTTCTTCATCTTCCATCGCCGGTTCTCCTTTGGGGTCGCGGAAGCAGGCACATCAGACAGAGCTTCCAACGTTCCCGATCCTGTGCCAGAGTCTGAGCTTCGGCAAAAGACAATTGGAGTCTGGAACAGACTTCTTCCATATGTTTGCACCAGGTTAATCTTGCGCGGCCCCATGGCCTTCTGTCGGTCGGATTTGCAAGGAACAATTGCTTAATCTTCCTTTCTCTTAGAGCTACAGTTCAAGTTTAAAATTACATGAAATTTTTTGTTGATCAATTATCCGTTGTGTCAATTATCACACTGAAGTCACTCATCAGGTGATTAAAAGAGAAGTACAGACAAAAAAGAAGCACACCTTAGACAGCATGGTCGTGCTATCTGTTCTTTCTGACCTTGCCAGACCAGAATTCCATGCGATTGATCGCAAGTCACTGACTTGCCACAATGTTTTTCGTTGGTTACACCAAACAACGTGGAATAAATTCCCTGGTCAAACGAATTAGCTATCAAGACAAGTGTTTCCTCTTTTTGGACTTGATCCAGACATCTCCGGAGTTTGAAATCTACCTCTCTACTACCTTCTCGCTCTTTTTAGAGTTTAAAAAAAAGAATACGCCAGATAGAAAAGACTCAAGGCTGGTGAACAGTGATATTCGAACATGTTTTTAAGCACTGAGGAAAATATTCCTCTAATTAAAAGGTTCCCTAAAGATCTAACACGTTACTAATACTGATTCATAGCTCCAACGTCCCCTAAAATGCAAATTCGACATTCATATCCTGTGATGTCGAAGCAGGGTAAAGAGTGATTCTAACCCTACAAACGATTTCTTAGATTCAAAAGAGGTTAGTGCGAAGGTCGCGTTCATGTGCTCGATCGAATACGGCTACTGTATGATATGTCATAACCAATCGATGCTTAGTCTGTTGCTATACAGTTCCGCTCCTTCCTTCAACTACACCGGTCTCAGTGCTTCGTCTGTAAACTATGATGCCCAAGTATGCACTTGCTAAAGCAGAGAACGTTTGTAAACCCTACATGGAACTGCCAGAACCGGAAATGCGCCGCAAGTGGTCCATTGATAGACTGATCATCCCGCTTAGAGTTGAATCACGCTCAACTGCTAATAACCGCAGCAAGGCGGATAACTGACTGCGAGAATATAATGTTCGTTTTATTTGTTTTTCATGCACGATGTAGTGTTATATTTTTGATATTTTTTGTCACTGTACCGCCGGAGGTGTTTAATGCCTGCCGCTTCTTTCCCATGAACAAACATTATTTCTGTTTGAACAAAACTGTTGACTTATGATGACGTAATTATGAACGAATTTCCTTACACCTTCAAGCAATGTATCTCAGAAAACGGAATTTACAACCAAAAACGCCCACTAAAGGACGGAGATATCGTTCACGTCATTCTCTCAAGTGAGCACAATAAGTATTTATTATTGTTTTTAATTTTCACTGACATGGGAGCTTTACTAATTACTCAATTACTGAAAAATGCACATGTCGGCAGTTATAAATGACTACTTACCTTTCGAGTCACCTTGTCAATTCGTGGATATTTTCGATACACCTCAGCCATATACGTGTTAATGTACTCGTTGCAAGCTGCATTATCTTTGTCCGTTTTGCAAAATGGAGCTGAAAATTTAAAAAAGTAGAATACTGCTTAGATCGAGAGTGGTATTCAAACCTGGCTGCTTTGAAGCATGAACAGCATCAGAAGTTGTGCCGTGTGGAGTTTTCCTCTGCAGATGATCGATCGTCGGTGACACCGTAGCCATTGTTGTCGTTGCGGTCTGCGTTTGCACCGTCAACAAGGGATCACATTTCGACACATGACAAACGAGCTGCTCAATTGGTTGAGTCAAGGGTCCCCGCAATATCATTATATTGGCGGTCAACAGAATTTCACCTGGGTCAACAATGAAGTTAAAAAACTGACAACCCTTGTTGAGGGCAATGTCCTCCAACGGCCGATCCTCAGTGTCAAACGCGCTGACCGGTCTCAAAAACGACACCTGAACCATGTCGTCATGAAAATTAGAGTGAATAGCCGTGATGTCCTGTTTTGTATCGGTTACGTATTGGCCACGGTCAGTCACGTGCATGTCAGCCACCACCAGCTGATGGTCCATGTTCTGAACGACTATTGCGTCGCGCATGTCCTATAAACGGGAAAGGTTTGTGCTCCATTCTTAACGCATTGCGGAATTCCTTACCGGACCCTTTCCGAATGTGATTCCAGTAAACCTGTTCTGTGGTAAACGTGCGGTTAAGTTGAAAACAATCGCATCTGCCTTTTCATCGTAATGCCAACGAACGTGGTAGTCTCCGTTGTTGTACTCACATGCTGAAA